CTCTTTCTTGAATGAAATGATAGTCAAGTTCAATATATTTTGTGTGCTCATGGAACACTGTTAGAAGTTATCTGTAAGGCAGATTGATTGTCACAGAAAAGGAGTGTTGGTCGAATGAATTGGATGCGCAAATCTTCCAACAGGTAAATGAGCCATTGAAGCTCAGATGAAGTGGTTGCAAGGGCACAATATTCTGCCTCAGAAGAGTTACGAGAGATGGTTGGTTGCTTCTTTTATCTCCACGAGATGAGAGAGCTGCCATTATAAACGCAAAAACCCATAATAGAGCGACGTGAATCCACACATCCAACCCAATCAGAGTCACTAAAGACTTTCAACTGAAGAGGGCTATCAGCAGCAAGGAAAATTTCATATCCAGGGGCATGCTTCAAATAACGAAGAACACGATAAGCGGCTTGATGATGAACTGAAGTAGGTTTGGCAATGAACTGGCTGAGATGTTGGACAACATGGGTAATGTCAGGACGTGTGTTTGTGAGATAAATCAACCGCCTAATGAGTCTCCTATAACCTGAAGGATCCACTTAAGCTTCACCACTAGAAGCAGATAAACGAACAGAATAGTCAATGGGAGTAGATGAAGGAGAACAAGCGAGCATGCTAGTGTCAGAGAGAATATCTAACGCATATTTTCATTGAGACAAGTGAATACCAGTTTTGTTTCTAGCAACCTCCAACCCAAGAAAATATGTTAAATCACCTAGATCTTTGATTCTGAAAGCTTCATCAAGAAGAACAGTGATAGCATGAATTTCAGAAATGTAAATTCCAGCAAGAATGATGTCGTCCACATATACTAGAAGAGCAGTGCAAGTTGATTCTGTGAACTTTAAAAATAAAGAATGATTTGCAGAGGAGTGATAATAGTCATGCGATACAAGGAAAGTGGAGAGACGAGCGTGCCATTGCCGGCTGGCTTGTTTGAGCCCATACAAAGAACGTTGCAAATGACAAACCATATTCGATTTGGATGAAGTTACACTAGGAGGGAGGTGCATGTAAACCTCCTCGTTAAGTTCCCCATGAAGAAACGCATTATTAACATCCAGCTGTTTGAGATGTCAATCATGAATGGCAGCTAACGAGAGAAGAAGACACATAATAGTAAGTTTGGCTACTGGAGAAAAAGTGTCAAGAAAGTCAAGATCTTCAAGTTGTGTATCTTTAGCAACGAGACGCACCTTATATCTTTGAACAGAGCCGTCAAAATTATGTTTGATCTTGTAGATTCATCGACACCCAATCGCAGATTTGTTTGGAGGTAACAAATTGATGGTCCAAGTGTTATTCGCTTTGAGTGAAATAATCTCGTCTTTCATAGCTTTAATCCAACAATCACTTTTGGAAGCTTCAACATAGGAGGAAGGTTCGGTGGTAGTGGAAATAGACAAGATAAAACGACGAAAAGAAGGAGATAAACGATCATAAGAAATATAAGAATTAAGAGGATAATGAATATATACTTGGGGAAGAAGCAATACAGTTGATGCGAGGGTGACGTGAAAATCATGCAGGTATGTGGGTACTTGACGCATGCGGGTAGAATGACGAAGAACAAGTGGAGATGTAACAATATTTGAAGGGTGAGTAGAAGAAGGGGAAGGAGTAGGGTTGTGAAGAAAGTAATTAGTGGTAGTAGGTGAAGGAAGGGAATGGGTAAAAGAAGTAGTACGTGAGTCAGGGTTAATGTAAGGAAAATGATTTTCATAGAAGATTATGTTACGTGATACTTCAATGTTACGTGTGTGAAGGTTAAAAATGAGGTATCCTTTTGTGTTAGGTTTGAAACCGAGATATATACATGGACGGGCTCTAGGATCAAGTTTCTTACGATGAGCTCGAAGGGTACTAATATAACACAAGCAGCCAAAAACACGAAGTGTGAAGATATCGCATGGTTTGTCATATAGTTTTTGAAAAGGAGATATATTTTGTAAGAAAGGAGTTGGAATGCAATTTATGATATGAGCAGCATGCATGATAGCAAAATTCCAAAAAGAGGATGGTAAGTTGGAGTGAAAGAGAAGGGCCTGAGTGACATTTAAGAGATGTTGGTGTTTCCGTTCCACTGTCATTCTATCCAGGTGTTTCAATACATGTAGTTTGATGTATAATTCCTTTAGATTCAAAAAATTTATTCATCAAGAACTTAACACCGTTATCAGTTCTAATAACTTTGACTCGTTTTCCAAATTGATTTTCAATGAGATTGACAAAATTTATTATTTGGTTACGAGTCTCGATCTTGGATAATATGAGAAAAATCCACGTGAAACGAGAATGGTCATCAACTACAATAATAAAATATTTATGTCCATGCAAAGAGATTTTTGAACAGGTCCCTCTATGTCAATATGAATTAAATCAAACGTATGAGAATTGCTTAATGAAAATGAAAGTTTCTTTTGCTTAGCATGGGGGCAAGTATTACAAGTGAAATGTTTATTACTATATAAGAATGGATAATGTTGCTTCATAGCGTTAAGTCTCTCATATGACAAATGACCCATGCGAAAATGCCACAAATCAATGTCTTGGATAGTATATAGGGGAGAAACAATAGTGGAGGAAACTAAAGGCAATTGGATAATAGGAGTGGTCAAAGTGTAGAGTCCTCCTTGCACATCAATTGTACCAATCTTCTCTTTGGTGTTCACATTCTATATAATGCAAGATACAGGGGAAAAAATAAGTTGACAATGAAGAGAAGAAACCAATTTAGAAATAAAGATTAAGTTAAACGTGAAATCAGGAATGTATAAAACATATGTTAAATGGAAGGACTCATTGAATTTGACTATGCCAGAATGAGTAGCATGAACATGATGACCGGTGGGCAACTTAACAACTATAGGATCAATAGATGTATGTATATGTAAAGAAATTAGAAAGGGAGGAAGACACATGATCAGTTGCACCAAAATCAATGATCCATGAGGATAGATGGCGAGAAATGACAGAACAACAATTACCTGAAGAGGAGGGTTGTGTAGAGATAGAACTGACATAACCAATAGTAGTATGGGAGGGAGAAGGAGCTGAGCTACCATTGGTGGACTGTTGTATTAAAGCCATTAAGGCTTGATATTGTTGTTGAGTGAAACGAAAATCCTGGGACATGGGAGCTTGTTGTTGATCATTATCAGTGACATTACAAGCATCAATCACGGTGTTGTTAACAGAATTCTTTCCTAGAGAGGATTTATGACCTGAAGGAAAACCATGTTTGGGATAACAAACCTCTGTGGTATGACCTGTTCTACCACAATAAGTGCAAAGTTTAGTGAATTTTTTAGAAGAATAACGAGAGCCTTTGTTATCATGCATGGAGGGAAAACCATGTTTCTTATAGCAAAGATTCTCAGTGTGACCAACAAGTTCATGATGAGCGCAACTGAGCAAGGATGTAGCAGCATTAACCACAGTCGTTTTGGAAGAAACATTACCAACAAAATTGGTTCCTATTAATTGGCGTTCTTGTTGAGCAACAAATGAAAATATCTTGAAAATTTGAGGGATAGGATCCATAAGAAGGACATGAGATCTGATGTTGTTGTATTGATCATTCAAGCCACGTAAAAATTGCATGGCCTGATCCTCTCGTTTTCTTTGTGTAATGGAAGGAAGAACCTTACAACAACATTTAATTGAACAGGTGTATACGGACTCAGGTCGAAAATTCTCCAATTCATCCCAATTGATACAAAGTTTAGTGAAAAACTCGGTAATGGACATATCACCTTGTCGGAGGGAAGATGCTTCATACTGTAGATCTGAAATACGTAGGAGATCGCCTTGAGAATAACGGGATTTGAGATCATTCCATATCTCATCAGTTTTATCCATCCAAAGCACACTCTGTTGGATTGAAGGAGATACAGAATGTATGATCCATAAAATAACCATGTTGTTGCATTGTTTCCAAGCTAAGTAGGTGAGATCAGATTCAGGAGGTTGAGGTGCAGACCCGTCAACAAATTCTAGTTTATTTTTAGCACTAAGGGCTGTAATCATTGATCTACTCCATAAATAGTAGTTACTGGAGTCAAGAATAAGTGACACTAAAGTTGTGGCAGGATTCTCTCCAGGGTGTAAGTAAAATAAACTATGAATATTAGGTGTTTGATTTGAGGGTTCAGCCATGATGGAAAAGGAGTAAAAGGAAAGCGCAGCAGAGCTCTTTAATGGAAGAGTCCTGATACCATAATAAAATCCATAAAGAAATAAAGAGGTGATATGTATTCACAAAAAGAGCAAGCGATAGTAAAAAAAATGATCAACTTTCTTACTGAGATATGATGGAATATATACAAAAAGAAGGAAGCAAAACAGAGAGAATAAGAGAAAAATACATCATAACAGGAAATATATTGTAAAAAGATGCAAAATAAAAAAAAAGGACGTAAAACGTTAAGATGGATTATGTGCTCTTCTTCATCTCTTTATCCTGGTTTTGGTAATGGTACTTCTTTATAAAATTACTATCTAGATTTGCTCTTTTTTCATATGAGAGATATATTTCCCTTTCATGATTATGATGAACTTTGCATGCATGTTTCCACAAGATAATCTCAATGTCAAGATTACAAAGTACCAATATGAAATAAAATATGTGCTTAAAGAAGGCAAATAAAAAAATTCAATTTTTAATTATTCACAGTCCATACTGCACAGTGCAGAGCTGGAAATCCACTTTGGAGGCACATGTGCCATAACGCAGCATTCATATATATTTGTTTCTTTTACTTCTCTGGCAAACGTAAATATTATTTTATGTTTTTCAATACAATAATGTGTATGTGAAGAAATTGCACTGCTTAAAGTCCACCGACTCCCCATGCCTCCACATACATTTAATTTGTTCAAACTTTATACACCAACCTACAGCGTATAAATAATAATGCAGAAAAAAAAAGGCTGAAGGAAAAATGCTGTATAATTGATCCTCCAAGCATTGAAACAAAAAATCATTTATAGGGTCAATGCAAATGGTGGTTCTGTTGACCAGGCCAGGGCCAAAAGTTTTTTTGTGCATCACTGTTTTGAAACATGTTGCAAAAACCATCATCTTGAAGATCTGGTTTTGACGAATAGTGAAGGATCTGGGTTATGCTGGTGGGATTTAAGGAAAAGGGTGGTTGACAAGACATAGGATTGTTCAAAGTCGGTGATCTTGAGAGACCCAAATTAATGTCTGAGCTGTTCTCACTTCCATTGCTCTGTGAACCCTCAGTTTCTTTCTTCAGGAGGCTGACTATTCCAGCTTCACACCAACCCCTACTTTTTACTGCTTGTAACTGCCAACATTATATAGTAGAACAAACGTAAAAACAAGTATAGATTATCAAATATCAATATGCCTTTGGTATCATATGTATTCTAGTGTGTTGGTCATAGTAAAAATTAAAACACATTGCAAACAAAAAAACATTACAACTTGTTGCAGGTATGGGGTGTGACAGTGACACAGATTCTTCACCAGAATTAATTATAGAAGCAAAACCGATCACTTCAAAAAGCCACTGGCCAATACTGTGTCACTTATAATGATACAATAAATGAAATGGGTTTCAGAAGTAAATGAAACGCACCGAACTCAAACATGGACAAATTTTCCTCTTCTAATAAAGCCGAAAACAAGGTTATGCTTTTCTTTCAACATGAAAATCTCTATTTATAGTCATTCAAGGAGCAGCGCTGAAATAGAACCATGAGGAGTAGGAAAACTTCTTACTCAAAATTTAACAAATTGAATTCCATCAACTCAAGGACGAGAATATATATGTAGAGGAATTGAGAGACAAAATTTAAATTTTTTGAAGAAAAGAATTGAAGAAGAATAATAAAAACTCATTCTTTCATTTTCAAAAAAGTAGAAGATTCCTACCAAGAACGAATATTTGAATATTGGAATCATACTCTCTAACACATGCAAATGGTTAATTATTAATACTAAATGTATATCTGAATCAAGATCAAAACAACAGTTTAGTAACGTCAACCCCTAGATTCTGTTCAGTAATTAAGTTATGTTCCCCTTGATCCAGTTCTCCAAAAATTTTAATACTTTGATCCAAAAAGAAACGAGTATGGGAAAAGTGCATTGATTGATCCAAATGCAAACTTGAAGTAAGCTAGAACCATTATTACCTCTGCGAGTAGTTTCTGATTCTGAATCTTAAGAACATCATTCTCAGCCTTAGCTGCCTCAAACTGCTTCTTGAGTGCTTCGTATTCCTTCTCCAAGTGCTTGGTTTTCCATCTGGCTCTTCTATTCTGAAACCATATGGCAATTTGTCTTGGATGCAACCCCAAAGCCTTAGCTAACTGCACTTTCCTTTCTGGCTCAAGCTTGTTCCCCAACTCAAAACTCTTCTCAAGAGCCTTCACTTGTTCCAAATTCAGCCTCTTTTTCTTCTCCCCACACTGAAAGTTCCCATCGTCGGATAACTCATCATCTCCATTCAACCCATCGCACTTGTTCTCAATTCCTGAAAACGACATGGATCGCTTCAACCTGACTGGTGATGCAACCCCTGCAACATTAAGACAAAACACAATTTTGTGATGTCATATCGGCAATGAGTAAATAATATACGAGTACGTAAAAATTTACACTCCCATTCAATTATAAGTTAGTACGGTATTGTATTTTTGTTGATTTTTTAATATTTATTTTAAAAAAATTATTAGCAATAATTTTTCAACGGTTGAGTAAAAGTGTATAGAAATTAAACTCGACCAAAAAGAAAAGAGAATTATTTACGTATATATGATGTTATCTGATTCTAAAGGGTAATATCAGTTCAAGAACTTTTTTTTTTTCAATAACTAAGAATATATATTGTTAAAAGACAGATGTGTTGTGACAGAAAGAGATGATTGAACCTTGAAAGTGTTGGGGTGGCAGAGAGGGGAAGGCGTTGAGAGAGGTTGAAGGGAGGTGATCGTGATCTTCTTCGTGAGCAAGAAACTTGAAGCTTTGAGAAGGTGGAAAGGCCATGGTAGATCAGGAGGATGTGATGTGATGTGATGTGATAGTGATATATCGTTCATGAAAATCGGTATCTCTATCTTACTGCTCAACTTTAAGCAGGTACATGATCCCATCTCACTCTCATGATAACAAAGCTTTCAGAAAGAGTGATGATGATGAGGATGTCCAGAGTTAGCCATTTTTTAAGTACTAATTACTGTGTATATGAATAAGAGAGAGTTAGATCCCAGTTCTAATTAACTCTAACTCAATATGCACCTTCAAATTCAGATAAGTATTAAACACTATACGAAGTTTAGCATATCTCATCATTTCTTTTTTTTTTTTAATTTAATAATTTCATTCTTTTGAAGAAAAAAATATTGTATTCAAATTTTTACCGATTCATTATAAAAATAAACTAAAGAATCTTTTACCTATTTTCCTATTTACTTACCTATTTTTATACCTAAGCTAATTTTATAATTAATTTGAATTGATCACTTTACTAATTATTTGGTTTCCAATTCAACTAACCTTTTAGTCCAGTTTTCAAAATAGTTTTATATATTAAAATCATCTTTGATGTGCAAGTCAATCATTGTATTATATTTTATATAAAAGTTAATTAAATATGATACAAAATCTAAAGAATATTTTCAATATTCATACGTTTACATTGCCTTATAGATAAGTTCAAATTTAATTATTCTGAATGACAAAATTCTTCAAGCCTGAAACTATGAGAGAGAGAGAGAGAGAGAGAGAGAGAGAGAGAGAGAGAGTTCAGCTGGTACGTATGAGATATTTTGACCTTTTATGGTTTACCATAGAGTGGAATTAGAAAATTGGTTCAAACAGATAGTTTTGAAATCACTTACACAAGTCTAAACAGGTTTAGTATTAAGTCGGAAGATATGAATTGAATTTGATTTAGGGTTACCATTGATATATGAGCATTTCAAAAGTGATGATGTAATCATATTGTCTTCCTCTTGGATATTTAAACTACTTAAAGGAAACAAGAATTTTAATATTAGAGATTCTTGTACTGGGATTTTAGGAATATATTCACTAGTGTAGTATTTCATTGGCTGCGTTGTCAGTTGTTTTAACTCTAGATGGAGAAAATTCTAACCTTATTCTCTAACTTGCATGGTATATACAAACAAGCTTAAGCATGTGGTTGTCAGAAACAAATATGCATAGGGAGAGAAAAGAAATGTGGATCAAAGTCATTTTTAGGAGAGTAGGAAGAATAAATTTTAACTGCATAAATAGTTGTGTAGGAAACTGCTTAATCTTCATCACTTAAATCAAGGACATATTTTCTTATATAGCACCACTTTGAATCAGTTATTATTCGTTTGAATAATAGTATAGCAAAAAGGGTGTTTGTTTGAATACACAAAAAGCTATGTGACAATATTGATGCTTGGCCTTACAATTATTTACTCCCTCTCTTTCCTAAGTATAGTAGGATTAAGGTTTTTCCACCACAAACCAATAATTTATAGTCATTTTTTTATATTTTTAATAATATTTTTGTTATTTTTTTTCACTAAAATTATTTGGATTAACTTATCTTTCTATAATAAAATATTATTTGTTTTAATGTAAAACATTTTCTCATTTTATTAAAAATAAAATTTTCTTTGTAATTTTTAATCTTAAACATTTTACCAGCAGAAATTTATAATATCCCTTATATTTTGCAAATTAACTTCAAACAATCATTACTCTATAAATATAAATATCTAAATCAATTTTTCATTATCAGACATAAAAAGAAAATTAAAAATAAAAATAAAAATACTTAATTTATTTTTACAGAAGAATTTCACACCTTTTGGTCAGACTTGAATATTAGCATAGAAGAAAATTTTTGCTTTTGATCTCAATGCTATCTCAGTTTGTCCTAAATCAATTCAAAAACAGTTTTCCTTTTATTTAAATAAAGAGCCACATCCCATTGATATTGATAAAGATATTGAAAAAACCAATAATAAAATTGATATGTGCTATATGTTTTATGTTAGTATACCAACACTTTTTCAGACATTATTATCATTCTTTAGTTGAATTTTATATATTCTTTATTTTTTAATTGTATTTAATCATTTTTCTTTTTAATTAGATTTATTATATTTTCATCATAAATATTATTTTTTTAGAATTAAACAAAATTTATAGGTTAATAAAGTTTGATGAAGAGATTGAGAATAATAAATTTTTCATTACACTATTTTTATATACAAGTTTCAGTTGATCTATAAAATATATCAGTGTAGTAATGTACAAGTCAATTTAATTTCATAAAAATAATATTTTAATTCTTTTTAATTTTTTGAAATTTTTTTTTTAACTTTTGAAAACGTCTTTATCAAATTCATACCCCAATGCGAAGAACTCCCTCCCGCCTAAATTATTTACTGTTTTAATAATTTAATTTATTTCAGGATAATTGATGTTTTCAGTTTACATTATATTATTAACGATTCTTTTCATAATTTTTACATAAATAAATTTAATTTGAATATATTTTAAGTACCATGTCTATCAAATGTATTTATTGAGATGGTAACGGGAAACTATTTTGGTGAAATTGCATAAAAAGAATATTTACTATAATTTTTATCTGTGAAAGAACCAGGTAAATTTGTGACAGAGGAACTGCCAATACACTGAAATGAAGAACATCTTTTTCAGGTACAATGAACTGCTAATAGAAGTTGTGAATCAGTACCACCATATTTCAGTGAGGGTGAATATTGAAATAAAATATAGAAGAAATTGTATGGGATAAGATAGGGAGGGAGGGTCGTTTATCCATTGATGAAGAAATGATTGGGTGCTCTCACTTTTCCAATGCCAAAGCATATCTTTGGAACTGAGGAGAGAGACCCACATTAACCATGATTTGCAATCACAATGTGACATGGATTTCTGTGCAAGTCTAATGATGGTGGAAGGATGGGGCACGTAGTGGCTATCATTAGCCATGGCCCATCTTCTCTTCTGCTTTATACAACAAAGCTACCATTCCAATATATTTAGGGCAAGCTCTTTGAAGTTAAGATGCCAACATGTTAGTCTTTGTTCTCTCTTTTATTCTAAAAATTAATTCATCAAAAAATTGTTCTGCATCTTCTTCACATGTTTTCCTGCTCCCATGTGATGTTCTTGCAATTAATTTTCCTCTCACTTCCTTTTTTATTTTATCTGTCTTGTAAAGTAGAAACATTCATAATATAATTATATTCAAATTAAACCACTTACCCCGAGAACAATAGGTTCTATCATTATGTACAACTCTCTTTTTTTCATTTCAATACATGAAAACCTAATTATTTTGTTATTTTGGCTCGTAACTTTGTAATAATAGTGTATTTGGATGAGAAAAAAATTAAAAAATAATATATGATTTTAACTTTCAATAAATCTACCAAGAGACTAATGTAACCATATTTTCTTCTTCAATTATATGAACGTCACAGAAAAAAAAAAAAAAAAAAAAGAAAGAGATCAGGTACAGACTGTGCAATAATAATAGTAATAATTGGCTCAAAATGCATAAGAGAATGACACATGTATGTTAAGCTGGACATTGTTTTATACTACCATGCACAACTTAAAAATAGGTGTTTAAATGTTAAAAATACTGATTTAATAAACTCTTAATTAAACTATATACTGGATATAAAGATATGAAAATAGAATAATTCCTCATGTTATCTGTATCACAAATGGTTCTTTTAGTTAAATATCCCATGTCCATTGTGTTTTACTAAAATTTAAATTAATATGTATAATGTTAATTAAATCTCTAAACAACGAATTAAAATTATGCATGCAAAATCCTATGGTTCCATGTAGTAATTGACTACAACATTTTGATAACATAAAGCACTCTTAAAAAGTAATAAACAAATTGTTAAACTAATATAATATAATTAATTCACGTAATAACATAATTATAATTAATATATTGTATTAGTCTAACAATTTATTTATTATTTTTTATCAGTATTTTGTATAACGAAAATGTTTTCATGAGATTTACATAAAAAGTTTTAGAAGAAATTAAGAATTAGAATTAATACATAGGGTTTTATTGGGAGATGAGAGGCATGACTCCCTAAACATAATTATTATTTCCATTGTATTTATAAATTTTAAAATACATAAAAAATATTCTACAATTTATACCTCAACATATACTATTAGTTGATGTCTTTTATGCATGATGTATAATTAATGTTTGTACACTTTAAACAAGTTATAGTTTGAAACCTCTCGAGGAATTTAAACGTTTTTTGCTTGATGATCACCGTTAATTAATTTTAACATTATAATCACTCTGTTTAAAAAAATGTAATTCATATGGGCTTGTGTTATGGAATTAACAGAACAAACTCCCACCTAAGTGAATGTGAATACAACATGCATTATATGTGGGAGCAAAATAATAAATAACACTAGTAATTTATCCACGAATTTTACCCATTACCGACAATATTTCCATCAGTAAAATCAGTGAATTAAAATAAAATTAAATAAAAAACACCAAAATATTAATTTAAATTTGATGGACTAAAAATAGATTTAATTGAAATTTGAGAAATGTTTTAATATTTTGAAAGGATGGCGTTTTACTTAAACTGTGATAATTAAGATGATGTACAATTTTTGTAAGTTAAAGAATAAAATTGAAAAGAAAAATGAAAAAAATTTGGGGAAGTGAGTAAATTTTAATGATTTGTTTGAATTAAAGAATGAATTTGGCGGTAAAAAAATAAAAAATAAAGTTTTGAATTAAGAGATTGAGGGCGGGAATGAGTAAACATATTATATTGATTTGATTGTTTAAAAAAATTAAATAAGATAATAAATTAATAAATGATTAAAATATCTTTATTATAAGTTTTAATAAAAATAAATATAAATTAAAATTAAAATACAATTTAAAATGAAATAACTATTTAAAAATGGATAAAAATAAATATAAAATAAAACTAACTTTTATATCAAAATATTTTATGATATGATTTAATTAAACAAATAAAAAATATTTAAATGAAATTTTTTATCTAAAAATAATATTTTTTAATATAAAGTTAAATAAA